CGCCTTCCCTCATGTCCTTTCGAAAAAGCCTTAAGACCTGGCTGTTCGAGAGGGCATTTAATTAAGTGCTAGCACAACATTACGGCAATGAGAACTGGAATGGTATAGGAAGATGAGACTGGTTATGATTCTACCAAGAGACGAAGCGGATTTTTATGTAGTTTGTATTTGTTGTATAGTTAGATGTTGTTGACACTGGCCATTGTAACTGTCTTTTTATGTGTACTGTACACCGCCATGAGTCGCCCGTAAGGGCTGAGAATGGCGGTTAATAAGTGCATCAAATAAATAAATAAATAAATAAATTTAACTGATTGTGTGCTTTTCAATCATTTCCAACTTTTGTTCAGAGGGGATTTGTCTTTAACTTCTGAGGCTGAGAAAGTGTGACTTGCCTAAAGTTACCCAGTGGGTTTCCATAACTGAGTGGAGATTTGGGTGGGAGGGATCTACAGTTGGCTTTGGGTACTGTCAGTCATATAGCGTTGTGGAACATAGTATTGTGGCAAAAACATTTTCTTTTTCCCTTGGCAGGAAATGTGGTTATGACATCTCCCAATTACAAAGCAGCAGCGTGTGAGTTTATCCATTCTTTCCGCAAGGGACTTCTAGGGAAGGTAATGCTTGACCAACTTGAGTAGATTTCTGTATAATGCTGGACTGAAGGATCATTTTAGAAAGTTGTGTCTGGGGCAGAAAGCATCATCATGCAGCTGAGCAAGACTACAGGGACTTTGCTTCGATCTAATACACATGGATTCTATACCACTATTGACAATTTTCATCTGCTCTTTGCAAACAGTTTCTGTAGTATCCTGAGGATCAGTAGTCCATAGCAAAGAACATTTGTAACCTCCATCACTAGTTTCTGAAGTATTAATTCAAGCCACCTTAGAAATGTAGCTAAGAAATACTTTCAGTAAATAAAATGAGTAAGAAACACTTATTCTTCCTTTTTCTGTATGCCATGCTATGCGATTGGCTGTGCGTTAGAGTATATTGTATCATGGTGATACATTGCAAAAATGTGCCATCAGGAGCAGCACTTTTTTGAAGTGCATAATGAAAGAGTGGCAGTGGGCCCAAGGATGTTGATCATTTCCTGGTCAGGTTTAGACATACTGGGACTCAAAACTCCTGCAGGGGTGAAAGATCAATTATGGGATGATCTGTTCCATGACGTTGGGGGATTGGATGGATTCCTGATGAAGAGTTTCTTGTCACCTTTTTGCAAGCAATTCTGTTGAAGCTCTGGCTGATCTCTGGAATGGGAAAATGGCCAGACTAGAGAGATGGTGGTGGAAAACTTGAGCATGGGGTTAGAGTGGATTTGAAAGCCTTCTCTGTGGCAATGAGGGCAGCAAAAAGAAATCATTTTTGCTTCCACCATTGCATCTATAAAGAACTGCCCAGCAGTGCTGTTTTAAGTCCTCAGAGGGTATCTGAGCAATGCTTCCTTTCATGTCCACCTATCATTACGAATCAGGCATCAATTCAATATTTTCTTGTACCAAAATAAATGCTTGTAGCTATGTCCAATATTTTCTTGTACCAAAATAAATGTTTGCAGTTCTATTTATTAAAACATTTTGTCTTTATTTCCAAACATACTACATTATACAAAACACTCAGGCAGTAGGAGTAGATGAAAAAAGGAAAAACTTTATGGATTCACAATGCTTAGGGACAGAGTTAGGGTTTCATTGGGGGGTATCTTCTGAAGGGTTTCATGATTGAAAACGTTCAGGAACCACTGGTCTACATTATTGCAAACTTTTTGATTTACTTACTTGCTGTTAAAATACCTATGGATTCAAAACTAATATGTACTTTTTAAATATATATATATACATACATATATACATACACATATCACATCACAGAAACAAGAAAGCAATATTGTAAAAGTATCACAAAACAATTTTCTAAGTTCTGTTTAGGAGATATGATAATTTTGTAAATAGGCTACTCATATGAAAACAGCTTAAGTGGAAGCCCCCTTCGATGAAGCATCCCTGCTATGGCACACAAGAAATACACTACATCTTGAGTTCTTATCGAACCAAGTTATATACATATTGAAGGTCTTCACAGTTTATTCAATGCAAAAATCACAACCAAAAGGATATAATCTGGCAAAATTCAAATGTTTAAAGGTGTATTATTAGTGTTAAGAATACATTTGCACTTTTCTAAATCCTATTTCACTCTTGATTCCATTCCCACAATAACAATGTTTAACATACCTGAAGTTTGTATGTTGTACTATAATACATATGTAAGGAAGTGTAATCATGGAAACTCGTGCTAAAATGTACTAGTCCTAAAGGTGTCACATTTTTTTTCTAAAACGTGAAATGTGGTCCCAAGTGTTGGAAGAGTATTTGAGACAGTACATAATTGTTATTTTTGAAAATAACTGTTAAATGGCTAAAAATAGGAAAATTAGTGAGAAGACTGCCTCGGTGTAAGAGTTGGCAGTGATAGCTGAGCATTGGCAGTTGTAATGGAGACCAGAGGATTTTGGTCAAAGGCAGATCAGTGTTGGGCAGCTGTCCTTGCCTTCTGCTCAGGCACAAGTGGCTCTGCTGCAGCTTGCATCAGCCCCTTAAGGCTGGGCTTTAAGGCTTCAACTCTAACCATGCGCTTACAGAACATTTAACTTTAAATTATTAAATTTTGTTTATGAGTGCAAAATGGAATGATTTAATTATCAAGTTAAACCCTGGTTTTGTTTACCAGTTTAATATGAAATAATGTACGTGCAACATAGCTAGCAAAGGTAGTTTGTGTGTATATTTACAGTGCACATCTCGAGTATGTTTGGATTACAGCTCCAAGAACCTGCCTAAGTTATTTTTCCAGGCTCTTGGTTATGTCACATACACGTGTAGCTGCCTTTTGTACTAAATGTTATCACTGATTTGTTTTGCTCAGCAGTCTAATGCTGCTGTTTTTGGTCACAATGGAGAATAACTGGCCCTCCAAATGTTGTTTCACTACAGTCTAGTATATGATATACACATGTTCCTCACGTCTCTCTTAAGCCTCAATCAAAAATATTTTTCTGCATCTTCTAAATGAAATCCTTTCAATAGAAACTATTGGCAGGTGCTCTATCATTGAGCTTTGGCTTTTCCATATATGGCTGCATGAGATTAGCAAGAATATTTACTATAATAGCTCTGTGAACCCACTACCATATTAATATAGGGCTAACAGAATAGCGTCAGAAATAGAATAAGCAAAAATATATATTCCATTAAATACAAACAAGTTTAGTTCCTGGAAATAGTGAATACAGCGTAGGGGACCACATGCACTTCCTATTCACATTACCGTACACTACAATCAAAATAGTTATTTTGTTTACTTCCATTTTCTTACAACCCTATCTCAAATTCTAGGTTTTCCCACTCAAATTGGCGTTGTAACTAAGGTCTCTCTCTTTTGCTAGCAATACTACATTTCTCATAGAAGAAAACTCGCTTGGATTGAAGTGCCGGAGGAGGAGGAGCTGGAACAAAGTTGCAATCAGGCATCAATTCATATAATGTTAGGATACCCACCAAGGCAATAGCTGATCCTTCCCTTCTCTTCCCAATGAAGCACCATACCCTTATTGCCGCAGCATAATATTGTGATGTAAATTTTAACAATGATAGGAATAAGCTTTACCTCAAGCAATTCAGCAGCTAGGCTTTGCTAAACTTGGCTGACAAAACTGCTAATATGGCTTCCCATATTGTACTGAGCAAATCCTTGTCATGCACAGAGGTGGAGGCACCAGAGGTGAGCTGGACTTTTTTGGCCTATCTGACTGCATCCAGATGGAAACAAAATTCAGAAACCTTAATAGAATACTTGACAGTTAGTAGGGCACTCAGCTCACAAGACAATTCCAGAATCCCTTGTAGGTACAGTTACTGGTCACAATCAAGTCCAACTTAGGGAAAGGGGCAACTTGGAGCAGTTCTAAAAGAAAAGCAAACACCAGGGCAGTGATTTAAGAAGCATGCCCTTAAAAGCAAGTTGCTTTCTTAGAGGGAAAAGAAACTGGCAAAACTAAGCAGACAAGTGAACAGAAAGACAGGTTGCGAGGACTGAGCATCTGATGTCCATGCCCAGTAACTGCCCTCAACTGTGCCATTGCCAAATGATGCATCTGGATTTTCTAGACTGTTTTCTCCACCTGATCTGATCCTGCCAGAAGCCATAGCTGCTGATGCTCCTGCAGCTGCTCCCCCTGCTGCTGCAGCCGCCACCCACAATGCCGATCGAGATGAGCTGTAGCGAGGTGAAGACTTTGACCGTCGCGTAGTGCCCCGAGCACTACCCCGTGCTGCTCCTCGTGCTCCACCACGTCCTCCTTTGCAATGAATGTCTTCAAAGAAAATGGCAGCCAGTAAAATAAGAGTCCAGCAGACAGCAGTACTCCATTTCTTCATCACAGCAAAGTGGAACAGATCTGCAATAAATGGAAAGAGACATATCAGTACCATGTGAAGAAATATATCCATCTTTACACCCATGTCTTTTGCAAAGAAATTGTGGAGATCCTGCCTTGGTATCTCTCAAGGACACAGAATCTCTGTGCCTTCTAATCTAGATTAGTCTAATATGATGATCAAACTGCATTTTGTACTTTTTTCCCCCCTATAGAGATGATGGCACTATAGTGGGTGCTAGATAAGGAAAGTGAACCTGTATGGTAGCCCATCTCCTAAAATCCCATAAAACATGACCATGTGGGATGTAGAGCTCCAGATGGTACTTGACTGCCACTCCAATTCTAGCTAGCACAACCAATGGTTTTGTTTATTTGTTTGTTTTTTTGTCGTGTCAGGAGTGACTTGAGAAACTGCAAGTCGTTTCTGGTGTGAGAGAATTGGCCGTCTGCAAGGACGTTGCCCACGTGATGCCTGGATTTTTTGATGTTTTATCATCCTTGTGGGAGGCTTCTCTCATACTCCGCATGAGGAGCTGGAGCTGATAGAGGGAGCTCATCTGCGCTCTCCCCGGATTCGAACCTGCGACCTGTCAATCTTCAGTCCTGCCGCACAGGGGTTTAACCCACTGCACCACCGGGGGCCTCCTACAACCAATGGTGAGAGATGATGAGAGCTGAAGAGTCACATTTCTCATTTGCCTGTATAAGATATAATCAGGAGGAGGGTTGGAGGAGCAGAACAGATTGCTTATCTATAACTAATTCTTTGGATGGTCATCTGTATACTCACATAATGGATTCTAGAGCTCTCCAGCTTAGCAAAACATCCCTGCTCCCTCGTCTTTATCATCCATGCCCAAACTGCCAAACTACAGTTCCCTCAATTTCAAAGTCCACCAACATAGAGCCAGGGACCTGAAAGAGGGGATGCAGGGCAGGTTTGTGTGAGTGCACAGATTATCACTCGAAAAGCCAGAGTTCTTCATCATGGTCTCTGTGCATCATAAAATAGACAACTAAGAAATCTACATGGGATGATGGGCTTGACAGAAGAAAGTATAGCCTGAACAAAGGCCGCATCAGCCCAGCATTTGCAGCTCAGTCTAGAATCTATATAAATAAAAATGTAATGTTCATTTGTGGATTTAACATAACTCAAAAACCACTAGGCGAATTTACACTAAATTTGGACACAATACACCTATCAGGCCAACGAGTGTCCATCACCCCTCAACTCACAAACAAACAGCAGAACGGACTTAAAAACCCTCCAAAATAAACCATATATACATATACACATACGTTCATACACATATACACAAGCACACATACAGACACACACACACACTTATATATATATGCAAGCACACACAAATATACATATCTACATATACACCTACACACATATACATATACACATACTTACACACATATAAACACACATATATGCATATACACAAGCACACACATATACACAATATACATATACATATATAAACACAGAAATATACATATACACAGGCACACATGCATACAGACAAACATATATACGCAAGCACACACAAATATACACATATACACGCACACACATATATACATATACACACATATATACACTTATTTATGCATATATACAAACACATATACACAATATACATATACACATGTAAACACAGAAATATACAAATATATATACACACACAAACACAGATACACAAATATATACACACAACATTACGATGCATGTGCAAAACCACACACATATATATATATATATGCAAGCACACATATACATAAATTATTTATTTACTGTATATACCGCCTTTCTCAGTCTGTAGGCGACATATACACACACACACATATACACACACAAAGCACATAAACACAGACTGGACCACAGCAACATGTGGCAGGGGACGGCTAGTGCTGAATAAAAGTAAATGGTTGAGACCTGTACCTTCAGCTGTACTGAAGTCTCAAAGGAAAGATATTCACAGAAGGGCTGCAGAAGCATCAACCAATCTTGTGAAATGTGCCCTCAAAGTGTTAGGGGTTAGTCATTAAGCTAGTTGCTAAATTGCCTCAATAACCCATTTGTGGAGTATTTGAGAGGAGACTTGGAGACCTTTCTCGGGGACCCCATAAGATGAAAAGTCTATTAGATGTGTGGAATAGTGTCAGGACGCACTATATGGCCAGTGAATGTAGGGATTGTTCCAGTTGGGTAGACAGGATGGGATAGAAGGTTGGAAGTATAATGTCCTGGGTTCAGATGGAACTCAAATACAACATTTGGTAGAAAGGTCTTGTTGAAGGATAACTTTGTCTTTTTAGATATATCTGAACGGCTGATTCTAAAACCAGCACAGCTTTCTAGTTTTAGAGATACAGAACATATGGCACGGACTCACCCATAGAAAGTCATGACAACCGTATCTAAGAAACTAGGGCTGACGCGCTCTACCCAATGCAGTTGTCTGAATCAGCACCCCAAATAACCCCAAAAACAGACCTAAAAACCAAGACACCAAGAAAATCATTACAGGCAGTCCCCACGTTACGAACAAGATAGGTTCTGTAGGTTTGTTCTTACACTGAATGTGTATGTAAGTCCGAACAGGTACATTTTTAACAGACACACAAGCTTTGGATAGCATAGGGAAGGATTAACACCCCTGTGCTGTTTGTTTTGCCGCCTGTGCCCTTGTTCAGAAGATTGCACCTCATTTTCTGTCCCCGTGTCATTGGATTTTGAAAGATTTGGCTTGCTGTAGAAACAAGGATTGGTGGTAAAGCTTCAGTTGAGACATCTTTCTCCCATGATAACTCTTTCAGGAATTAATTTCCTTTTTAAAGGGTAGCTTTCTCCCACTTCCTGTTGTCTCACCCCCATTCCTAACTATGAGTCGTTTGTAAATCGGATGTTTGTAATTCGGGACTACCTGTGCACATTTCAAGAGATTTTTATCTATGTATTATTGTTCAAAGTTGAATTGAATTACAGTAACAATGTGTAGTATGACATCATCTTGAAAGATTGCCGATTCCACAAATGGCACTGGTTTCCCCCTATCAGCTCTAGTTTTGGAGACACAGAACATATGCCATATCCAGTCACCATACACTTGTTAGTAAAAAGTCGTGACAACCATATCGAAGTCTGCAGTGCCTTTCATGTTCCTTGATTCGTGT